CACCAACTAAACAGGCCCTATATCTTCTTCTAAAAGCTCTAGCTCTCCCAAACAGTCTAGATTCTCACCCCGATTCTCGGAATGTATACTATAGAATCCAGAAAAATGAATTAGAAACCCGAAGCTGAAAAATCTAGCTTCTTCGGATTGTTAGAAGTTGGCTACTAACTAACTGTTTCTCAGAATTTTAAGCTCCCCAAACACGGTCAACAGCTCTCCTCCACCGCCGCGCGCAGTCCTCCGTGATATAGCAAGCAGAATATTGTGCCACCCATCGCGTGCAGGACACAAAATCCTCCATCGCTTATTTAGAGGAGCTGTTAACAGCTGCAGCTTCTTCCAGAATCAAAAGCTCCCCCCAAACAGTTCAACTTTTTATACGTCCAGATTCTGAAAAGCTGTAGTTGTGTAGAATCCAGAAAATAAAATAGAAACCAGAAACTAAGAAACCCAGTTTTTCCAGATTCTCAGAAGCTGGCTACCAACTAGGTATTTCTCATAATCTTATGCTCCTAAACACGCCCACAATCTTTTTAAGGGAAAACACTATAGGGAAGTCCCCACAGTAAATATATTAAATTGAAAGCAAGAGTACACTACAAACAGCTTAACCAGCAGGAAAGAGTTGATCTCTCGTCTATTCTTAAACGAAAAAAATGAAGGGATAAATCATTCTCGAAGAATGTCATCCTAGAGGGGACAGAGGAGGAACATTATCAGAAATAAGTGCATTTCACTTCAGCCTTCTCTACAAAATGAGATAATCTGAATGTATTTCTTGTTTGCTACAACATATCATCAAAATTCGTGATAGTCTGGGATCTGTATTAAATTTTATCCCTTCTTTTTTTTATCCTTTTATGTCATTCGGAGCTACAAGCTAAGAGCGGTAGAAGAACAGGTGTAAAATAGTTTCTCTAGCTCCAGCAGAACATAACACACAAGTAAGATCACTTTGTTCAGGATCACAATGCTTTTTATCGAGCATATCTCGTGTATTTAATTGGGTGATCAATTAAAAGGAGCCAACCAAAAACCTTAACTTTCATACAGTGCACTTACTCTTCCAGACCCATTTTAAATAGTTAGGCACATGTATATAAATAAAATTGATGGCATATATATTCCGAGATGATAAGGAACCATTACCCCAAACATAGATCCATGAATCATTGTAATCAGAAAGTTGATTCAAATGGTCATCAGCAGACATTGAAATGAACTCTTGATAAGCTTGCTCTGTAATGGGAAGATCAAAAATTTGTGTTAAGTCCAATGTAGATGTTATGTGAACTGAATCCTTGTGATTCTTTGCATAGGAATAAGACCAAGGATAAAGAACTGATCTAAGTTTATCATTCAAAAAACCATCCCAGAAAAGGGACAAGTCATACCATCACCCACTTTACAGATGAGGTGATGGCACCATAGTCAACAAGTGGGAGTAGGAGCGGTAGCGGTTGGGTTGCAGTCGCCACTGCGTGGCCCCTGACCTCACATGCCCATGGATTGGCAAGTGCAAGGACGTGCGCGCGGTGAAGAAGGGAGAATAGAAGGAAGAAAGAAGGATATGATAGTGGGAGCTAGGGGTATTTTTGATATTCTACAATGTTTTCTCTTCTATTCAACTAAAAATAAATATTTTAATATGTGTGGTGTCTAGCGGTAAATATCTATGTTTTAAGAGTGTTTTCCTCTAAAACTTAATTTTTATCGTGCTCCATAACTAAAAACACAAATTCACGATGTCCTATAACAAAATTTGCCATTTAAAAATGGTTGGTCTGAACATATGCATGGCAATGACATCCCTGTATGCATTCGAAGCTTAATTTTTCTTCCAGGGATGGTCCAACTGGGGTGGAGGAGGAGAGGGCGGGGAGATTGGAGAGAAGGAGATGTGGGTTCCACTATAATTTTTTATTTTTACACGAACAATCATTTATATGTGCGACCCACGAATTTTTCCGATTATAAGTGCCACATCAACGCTACGTAGGTGCCACATCATCCAAAACTACTATTCAAAATGCCTTGGGATATTATTTGCACTGGTTTTGAAAGCCGTGGGATGCGTTATAATAGTTCGGGGGCGATTTTCAGACTCGACAACAAATTGAGAGACCTAAAATGAACTTATTCCCCTCCACCAAATGAACAAAGATATCATCAAAATGTTCATATGTCGGCCTGCTCACGCATAATTTTGTTTCTTGGGCTGAACGAGCCCACTGCCCACGTATAGCCACGAAGAAAGAGTTATGGTGAATTTCTAACGCTCTCTGCCTTTCTCTCTGTCAAGAAAAATATCTGAAATTTCTAACTCGACCGGCTAGTGGAGCCAGGTGTCTGTTATGTCTTCCGTAGATGTAAAGTGATGCCACGGTACTGCAAAAGTGACAATATAACAAAGCAATGTTTCGCATATTGACAATATAACAAAGAAATGTTCCGTATATTCGATCTGTTCATGATTTACTGTCTAATTTACATGTGTGAATTGCATGTGATTATGTTAGTTTACATTGCAATGTTATAATTTATTGATGAAATAAATTAAATCAATATGTGCTTATATATTCAACACAAACCACAGCTCTTTCAAATTTGGTCTTATTTTATCCTTATGACGACATTTTCCCTCCCAACCATCCTAAAGCTGCGTTCATTACTGAGGGTTAGAAAAACATAACGACGGATTAACGCATTATTAATCAAGTATTAGCTAAAACCATTAAAAATGGATTGATATGTTTTTAAAGCAACTTTTCAATAGAAAATATTAAAATAAACGCATCGTTTAAAAGTTTAGAAAGTATGCGCCTGGAAAAAGAGGAGTAGAAGTTGGGAAAGTGTTAAAAGAAGGAAAAGTACGAATTACCCCCCCCCCAACTATTGCGGTCGACCGAATTACCCCTCTGAACTTGAGAACCAGAACCAGACATCGCTCACCCTGAACTTTCAATACCGGACGAATTACCCCCTTGACCCAATTCAGACGGTTTTGTCCTACGTGGTTTATGCGTGGCACTCCAGTCAGCATTTTATTTTTTTTAATGGTAGGGCCCACCTGTCATATATACTCTCTCCCCTCTTTCTCCTCTTCCCCTTTTTCTCTCTCTCGTGCGTTCTCGCCTTCTCCGTAAGCAAGCCAGCGCGCGGCGGCGGGCGATCGGCTGGGGGCGCGGCTGGGCGACCGAAGGCGGCTGCGGCTGCGAGCAGAGGGCTGTGGGCACTGATTATGTCGGTCGTCCTCGTCCTTGGGCGGCCGAACGACGATGAGCACCTTGGCGGCGGCCTCGCCGACGCCCTCCGCCCCCAGCTTCCTCCCCTTCTCCACCACCAACCTCCCCTCACTATCCACCACGTAGATGCCATCCTCGACCACCTCCCTCCGTCCACGGTTCGCCACCACTAGCACCCGCTCCGTCTCTGCCGACCGCCACGGCAGCGTGCGCCTATCGGTCCAAGCCGAGGTCCACGTCCTCCTTGGTCCGCCTTGGCGTGTGGGCGAGCGCCACGCCACCGTCGCCCTCACGCCCCACCGGGAGCAGCAGCACGGTGTCGACCACCTCCAGCGCGCGCTCCAGCTCCGCCACGGAGTCCTCGGCGTCGATGGCCTCACCCGACTAGCGGAACCGTGCGAAAGTGAGCTCCTCACGTCGCCCAGCCGCGCCCGTCGCCGCCGCCGCCGCCGCTCGCCCGAGAGAGAGAAAGGGGGGAGAGGAGAAAGAATAGGGGAGAGAGTATATAGGTGGGCCCCACCATTAAAAAATGTTGACTGGAGTGCCACGCGTACGCCACGTAGAACAAAACCGCCCTCGATTGGGTCGAGGGGGGTAATTCGTCTGGTATTGAAAGTTTAGGGTGAGCGATGTCTGGTTTTCGGGTTTAGAGGGGTAATTTGGTCGACCGCAATAGTTCGGGAGGGGGGATAATTCGTACTTTTTACTTGAAAGAACATAGCCTAATTTAACAAGGGTCGGCACTCTTGGGCACAGTCGTATAAACAATTTGTATGACAAGATCTCGACAATCGTCGTTAAAGACTCCTTTAGAATAAAAGATTTATGGAGAAAATTTTATTGGGTTTGATTTCAATGGGAAGAATTCGTCTAGAACAAAGTAACAGTTTTGTTTAAGACTCCTTTGAAATTCTATTGGAACGTCTCAAATCATAAGAATTTTGGAGGACTTCCCACGTGAGGCCAAATCTCTTGGAAAGTTTTCTTCAAGTCTATCCCTCTACTTTGATTCATCTGTTTTTCCTACTGTCTATCCAAACTATCATTTATTTTCTAATCAATTCATAAGATTTGAGGTATCAACGAATTTGATCTTATGCTTTTTTTTATTCTTGCACTCTAAAAATTCTACTATGTTCCAAAGGACCTCTCAAATTAACCAGTGTAACGTTGACAAGGTTACGTAAGTGACGCAATTTCACATCTGGGAGAACCAAGAATATAATTGACAAGCTTATCTAATAACTAAGAATAATATAATTCACAAGCTTATCTAATACTCCCCGTTTCATATTATAAGTTGTATGTCCTTTTTTAATCATACTTTATTAAGTTTGACCAAACTCATAGAAAAAATTAGCAACATTTAAAATATCAAATTAGTTTTGTCAAAACTAAAATTTCATACATTTTGATGATATATTTGTTTTCTGCTAAAAATACTACAATGTTTTTTGTTAAACTTAAAAAAAATTGAATAGGAAAAAAAGTCAGACTTGCGATATGAAAGGGAGGGTATATATGCCCTCTTTTTTAAGCATCTATCTTTAACCAATTACACTGTACATGTGCTAAGAAGAACCAATTATGCCAAACCCCAGTAATCCCCACCACCCACTGCAATACTACTACTAGTCAATAACAAAAGAAAAGAAAAGAGGAAGAAAGGACAAGTAAGAGAAAGGGAAAAAGAGAGCACCGCGACAGCTACCCGGAACCGCGGATTTATATCGTCCCACCGACGAGTGGGCCCCACTTCCCCCACTCACTCACTCCTCCCTCCCACTCCCCACTTCACTCTCACAGCAACCGAGTACTAGTACAAAGTTCTTCGAATCCCACCGCCGCCGCCGCCGCCGCAGCATTGCGCGATGGCCGGATTCGCGACCTCGCGCCCCGCATCCCTCGCCCTCGCGGCGCTGCTCGCGTTCCTCAACCTCTTCGCCTTCCTCCTCGCCGTCGGCGCCGAGCGCCGCCGGAGCACGGTACGCGCCCCACGCGCTGTCCTCTCTCTCTCTGTCTCTCTTCCGGTGTGGTGGTGGTGGTCTCTGAATAGCGGGGCGGCGCAGGGGAAGGTGGTGCCGGACGAGTACGACCTGCGGTCCTACTGCCTCTACGACACCGACGCCTCCACCGTCTACGGCGTCGCGGCCTTCTTCGTGCTCCTCCTCGCCCAGGCGCTCGTCACCGCCGCCACCCGCTGCCTCTGCCTCGGCCCCGCGCTCTCCTCCCGCGGCTGCGCCGTCGCCTCCTTCGTCCTCTCATGGTACGCGCGCGCGCGCTAGCTAAACCCTATTTATATTTGGTGATTTTGAGCTGATTCAGTATGTCAGATTCGGTTCAATTTGAGCTTTGTTCGTTGCGATTGCGAGTGCACGCTTTGCGGATTCGAGTGTACGGAAATCTGTGCGGCTTTGAGTTGGTGAGTGAGGCGATAAACCCACCATGGATGCTTAATACTTTGTAGGAGCAAGATTTGGGGGTAAATCCGTTGGAATGATGACAAATGCATGGGGACACAAGAGTCTTGGATGCTTTCTCTAGTCCTTATTCTTGCTTCAGCAACTGACAGAACTGTTGTTTGGTATCAGATTGAGACAAAGCTCGAAACCGTTGCTGCTTTCGGTAATTTCTTGTGTCAGCACAAGCTTTTAGGGGACAGTTATTACAGCGAGTTTGTGAGGAAATAACTGCATAAATGGGCATTGATTCATTTACTTCGTTGGGCTCTTCATTTGGGACAAGTGTAGTGCAAGAGCAGTTTGCTCTTCTGCCTGGCCTCCATAAACTGAGGGAAAATTTCAGGACCACTGTCATCTGTGACTGTGATGTAGTTAAAATTAGATAATCCTGCTCTGAATCTAACAGGACTAGAGGCTTATCCATTCACACCATTTCATTCCAGGTGATATGTGAATCTATTTTATGGGAAAAATGTGAATTCCACCTGGCTAAATTTAATTGTATGAATAGATTCCCTGTTTGGACCATTACATTGACAAAGTCATCCAACATTGACCTGCACAAATCAAATTTGTTCTTTCATTCATATTGCGAAGAGCATATTGGCACGGCTTGATCTAACACGGTACAGTATTTCTGAGAAAACTTGTGCTATGACGGCGAAGTAAGGTGTCACCACCACCAAATTGATGTTTAGTCAGCTGATGGGTGTGATTCCTGCTTGGTGCTGATTAATGAGTGCCTTTGTTGAGAAGTTTTTTATTAGCATATTTTGTTACACGGACACCATTCTTCACTAACGGGTTAAAGTATTTAATTGATAGTATTTGGTGACGGTTCCAACAGCTAACCAAAATGTGGAACTGTGCAACAGTAGCTTATTGCAATGACAATCTTAGTTGCTCGAGCCATTTTGACTCGTTTGGTAGAACTTATGTTATGGGTTATTTGTGGTAGTCTTTTCAACAAAATCTTAAACCCCCCTGTTTTGTTTTAGTGCTACTGCCTGCTCCTTACAGATTAGTGATTGCTGTTCTTTATTTACTACCAGTTGGGGAATTAGACACCAAGGCAAAGAAAGAAGGGGAATGTTTCTTTGTAGTCGCTATTCTTGCTTCAGAAATACTGCATTCGGGACTAGGATTACTTGCAAATTGGCAGATCCAAAATAGCATTTGGCGATTTGTGACATTCTTTCCTGTGAATTAACCGACTTTGTAAATTGCACTCTTTCAAATTGGGTCAGAAATGGAACGATACACAAGGACTTTCTGCTTCCATATGTAGTTTCACCAGGTTTCCATCATACTAGTATAAGCTAATTCTGGTAGTACTAGGCTATAATAAGGTACTCTTACTGTCCATCACCTTGAGAATCAACAACTGCTTTCCCAAAGTGTAATTTCAGTGTTTTACTTTTATAAGTTGCTTTTAGCATATGATGTAGCAATGATTTATGTCCATTGTCTGCTACTACTGAACACAGTTGGAAAGCCTATGCTTGATCATTGTAAAGCCATTAGTAACTGATGTAAACTTGGGAGAACACTTATGTTTTTTTTTTTTAGCAAAAGAACGCTTATGTTAGATCAAACGTAGTTGTTAAATTCCATTAGGATCCGATTTAGCTGGCATTTCAAGGTTTTCATTGTGATAACCATTGGCATTTAGATCATCTGAACATCCCTTCTCATAATGTCCTGGCTTTTCTTGTTCGCAGGATAACATTTCTCACCGCAGAAGCCTGCCTTATTGGTGGATCTGTGAGGAATGCGTACCACACCAAGTATCTTGGTTACTACATGAAGCATGACTTGGTCACATGTGCCACGCTTCGCAAGGGAGTCTTTGCAGCAGCTGCTGCCTTGATGCTTATAAATCTCCTGGCATCTCTCATGTACTACTGGAGTTACTCGAGAGCTGCAACAGGTGGGTTCATCAAGCACCAGAACGAAGTTGGCATGAGCATGACGGATTACGGCCTTGACAAGGGTGGCTCTATGCCCTGAGTACTGGAGTAGCATCATGTTGCTCTTTGTTCATCTGGCGGCTATGACGAGTTACGAGATTTCTCAGCTTTCTGTGCCAGAAGGTATGTTCTTGCTGTGCACAGTGATGCAGTGGATGACACACAAATGCGGTTATGATATATAGTGGTAGTTTTATTGTATGTCTCTAAATTATTACAACGTTAAAACTCTTTAGGTCCTGGTTGTTAATTGTTATATGGCATGTGCCTGCTTGCCATTGGGCATTGGCTATCAGCACTACTTTTAGTGCAAATACAGGTTTAGATTGTTTGTGCTGGACAATTGAGGCCAGTTCTTAACAGGGGTGGTTTACATCAGGAACAACTCAAATGCACCAAAAAAAGGAAAAAAAAATAGTGGCCAACCATTTCCTTTGACAGTTTGACTGAGCCGTACGAAAGATCACTCAGCACTACACTTTAATAGTACATAGCTACAAAAATGTTTCAAATATTAACAAGGAAGCATGCATAATGCATCAGATTTTATCTGGTCATTCTGCCATGCAACCTTTTCTTTTTAAGATGAGTTTACAACGGTGACACATTTATCAGTGTACACGCTTCATTAGTCTTTTATAATTATAAATTATATTTAGATAAAAATATTTTTATTACAACTACTATTTTCAACTTCTGATATGATTTTTTTTTTACATTTGCTGACAACCTGCTTTTTGTATGTTTAACTAGACGCATTTTAAAAGCCATCTATTTGAGAACCGAGGTAGTGTTCGGGGTGTATTTTTCTTTGCCCGATTTATAACAATGGCTAATTCATATTTGAAAGTCTATGCGCGCTTATGTTGCTGGGTTGCGATGAATGAAGAATTTGTTGTTTCTTGTGCGTGATCCTTATGCATGGATTCCATATTGCGGAAAGCAAAACCATTTTGGGTCGATCAATAGAACTGAAACTTTAGAAAATTGGTTTCGTCAACTTTTCAAACATTGAGCAAATTGACTGAATTTAAACAAAATTTGCGAGGGAGAGGGGCGGGCAAAGGGATCAAAGGAACCAACGTTGCAGAAATTTTGAACCGAAATATAGAACGCTTCCATATGATCCATGTCATGGTGATCATCATCTCCGTATAAAAATGAATTTTCAACTTGTGCTTGAGATCTTCGGGACCTTTGAATCGTAGGAATGGAAAAATGAAGAAATATAAAAACGTAAGATTCTAATAGAAATACAAGTGTAAAACAGACGATTGCAAAACACATGAATGACCGTCTGATTTGATCACAAGAAAAACATAGGAATTGAACGAGAGATACTCAAAGGAAAATTTGTAAAAGATTGGAGCTCCTACTAAATTTTCTTCAAAATTCCAGAATTTTAAAGGATAGGATATGATTGTTTCAAAGGTTTTCATATGAAATTTTTCTATACGATTTTAATCCTATAAAATTTTAATGTTTTGTTTTCTCAAAATCAAATGGGCCCAATGGCTTAACGTACTGACCCAACTGATCACTAGAGAAGATTGGCCCCAGTAACTACATTTCGGTAAGTTGGTAATAATGACTATTAATGAAGCACATAAATGGTCAAGGACAAGAACATAAATTGTCATAAAGTATCAGCACCATTTTTTTTTTGAGGGAATCACCACCAAACTTTGATCCTGGTTTGTACAGCCTATGTGTGTTGTCTCCGTAGTACCGTGCGGCCATACCTGGTAGGATAGTATTAAACAACATTTTAGGCCATACATTTTAACTTCTTTCTCCAAAACGATTAATATTTAATAATTCTTGTCCTAAGTCTAAAGATGAAAAAAATGTCTACCAGTCCAAAACAATTTTTATATAGTAAATAGCAGAGAAGGATAAAAGTGTTTTTTATTTAAATTTTGAATCGATCAGAATACAAATTTGCCCCGTTGATTATTAACCCTTTTCCTTTAGGGCTCCTTTGGATGGAAGGATTTTTAAAGGAAAAAAATTGAAAGAATTCAATCTGCAGGAATAATTTTCATACGAATTATTTGGTTTATAGGAATATTTCAAAGGAACTTCATAGGATAGGATAAAAAATCCTCCACATTTTAGAGGAATTCTAACATGAGTTCTAACCTCATTTTTTTAAAAAAAAATCCTTTAAATTTCACTTCCAACTTTTCTCTCTCCCCCTGTTCTCTCTACCAAATCAACAAATAATCTTAAATTTCCTGTATTTTTCTCCGTGATGAATCCAAACACATATGTTTCAAGTAATTCCTATGTTCTCATTTCCAGGAGGAATCAACCAGCCATGACATCTCAATATTGTGTTTTCCTATTTATGTATTTTAATAATCCCGTGTTCCAAAGGAGTCCTTAACATTTGTAAACTTTTTAAAAGCGACTGATGTATGAAAACCAACTACACTCCATAGGATTAATATAATGAAACACTGGTTCAAATTAAATTGAGAAAATTGTTCTCATTTTTAGTTGTGCAACTTGTGTGTCAGACATGCTTTACCTCATGCATATAGTAGGCAGAAGTGGTTAACTGGTTATGGAGCTTTACTTGCCTTGTTTTACCGCAAGTTCATGGCTGATATATGATTTAGTCTTCCCATTCTAGCACTTTCTTGTAAATTTCCCCTGAAATGAGCATGTAAGGTCCAAAAATATACCTCCTTTAAGGATGAGAAACTCAATACCATCAGGAACATGGGCAAGTTGTTTGAGACCATCAAGTTTTAGATACTCAAGACTGATCAATGTTCCCTCATCCATGTAAATCTCTCTAACTTCTACCATGTCTTGCAAGGTCATCCCCTTCAACTTTGGGAACAAGGCTGCATGGAACCTTAGTTGATGCCCATTATATGTTCTCCGAAGATTTTTTTTTTTTGAACGACTCGCACGAGACGGTGCGAAGTTCTATTGATAGAGCAGGAAAAAAAGTATAAGATTATAACCCTGGAGAGTCGTAACCAGGAAAAGAAAAAAATACCACCACCCACACGACGACATCGCCAACACACACGCCCAGGAGAAGGCTAGTACCGGATCGGCCGCCGCTAAGCGTGGCCGACCGCCACTAGACCAACAAAGGCACGGCTGGCGCACCGATGCTCCACCACCGCACAAGCTTTGCCAACATGTGGGACCCCTGCACCGGTGTTCTCCGAAGATTTAAACTTGTTAAATTTGATAGCTTGGAGAGATATGGGATTGGGTCTTCTGTAAGATCGCACCAGCATAAACTCAGTCTGACAAGGGAATTTACATTAGCTGAGAACAATAATGGAGATTTCAGCACTCCTCCTGTCAACTTCCCTGTCAACTGAAGTGTTTGGAGTTCAGGAGGCAATTGCAAAGATTCCAGCCTGAGCAATTCATCTTGATTGCTTGCTTTCACATGTAATCTCAAGAGGTGTTGCATTTTTTATAGTGAAGAACACAATTCTGAGCAATAGTTACTCCTTACGTCCGAAATGTAAAGGCTCCTTAGTTGGGCCAAATACCCTAGCCTACTGACAAATTTTTTATTTGCCCGAATTTCATCCAAAGTAAGCAATTCCTTCAAATTCCAAAGACCTTCAATTGTTCCCATACCCAAGGAGTTACTGAAACTTGAGTGCTCATTGTACAGTAATTTCCAGACAAGTACATGCCTCAGTTTCTTCAATTTTGCAAACCCCTCTGGAAAACTTGTTACCTGAGTCCTTTCAAGACTTAAGGTCCCTAAATTGTGAAGTCTGGTGATAGTTTTTGGGAGTGACTTCAGGTTAGTATCATTGAGGCACAAATATTTAAGATTGAACAATTCCCCAATCGAATTGCTGATAGCCTCAATGGGCAAGCCTGACAAGTCCAGCACTGCAAGATATTTAGATTTGGGTGGAACAAAACAAGACCATGAACATTGAAGCATGGTTGTGTCAAAAACCAAAAAAGTGTGAAGCCTCGATGAAGCTAGGTTTGATGTGATTTCACTCTTGCATCGGATCAGCGACACACGACGAGAATCTGACACTACCTGTACAACTCCAGAAGTATCATCATGAAGTGAACTGAAACTCTCTTTTTCGGACATTTTAATGGCTAGTTCACGTACAAGATCATGCATCCGGAAACGTCGAATCCTGCCAAAACTGTTCCTCTCTACCACTTGAAGCATGCTCCGATGGACGAGTTCTATGAGATAACTTTCAGCAACCTCCTCTAAGCTGATTGATCCTCTTTGTTCAACAAATCCTTCTGCGATCCACAATCTGATCAGCTTCTTCCTCCGAAGGAGATGATCTTCCGGGAACATCGCACAGTATAAGAAACAGTTCTGCAAATGATTTGGCAGATGCCTGTAACTTAAATTCAAGATCCACTCCACATGACTTATGTCTGGATTGTTCTGCAACTCCCAAATTATTTGGCTATGGAAACATTTCCAAACTGCCTCTGTTTTATCTCTTAGTGATAGTAAGCTCCCCAATGCAACAATAGCTAATGGCAAACCTTCACATTTATTGACTATCTTTTCACCCCACTTCTGCAATTCCGGGGAGCAAGCATGATTTTCTGTTTTCCAGAATACCTTTCTGCAAAATAAAATCCATGCATCATACTTGCTTAGAGGCTCAAGGTTGATCTTGCAGGCATCTTCAGCAATTGCAGCTACTTCATCGATTCTAGTTGTAATGATTAATCTACTTCCCTTGCCACTATTAAAAAGGGTATCTCTAATTTCCAAAAGAACTGGAGCTCTCCATATATCATCTAATGCAATTATGTAACTCTTGTCCTCCAGAAATCTCTTCAACTCTTCTTTCAATACCTCAATGCCCATCCTTGATGTGTCGTAGTTTACTTCGCTGCTGTCGCCAAGTAGTTGATTCAACATATTTCTGAAGATATCATCCATTTTGCATGACTGTGATACAGAAATCCATGAAGAGCAATCAAAATGAGACCGCTCTCTCTTGAAGACATTGTAAACAAGACAACTTTTGCCCAAGCCACCCATACCACAAACAGCAACAATGCGCAGAGAACAATGTTCAGAGTACAATAGCTTTGTGAGGGTTTCTCTGTATTCATCAACACCTACAAGCTCATTGTCGTCATAATCTGGTACTTGGCTATGCCTGAATTGGTACACTCCTTGTTCATCGTCATAGTTTGGTATCTCAGCATCGGGTCTGCAAATCGTTGATTGTACCCAGCGGTCTCTCCTACTTGACAGTTCCTTGAGCTTCAGTTTTACCTTTTCAACCTCAGTAGCAACCCTATCCAATGAAAACAAAGACTCTGGTTTCTTGACAAATTTCTTTAAATTACCCCAGAATCCCTTACCCTGGTGTTCACCAACAACATATATGAACTGATCCACAATATCTTCAATGTCATATGCCAACCTCCTGACTTGGGTTATCCAAGTTTCCAAGACATTATCACGGCAATCCCGAGTTTTAACTTTCTTGAGAAATGCATTTATAATCTCAAGTTCATCCTTCACCAATTCCATGTTAGTCGGAAGTGCTACGACTAGTTCAGATTTTTTTGCAATAATGGGTCTTGACAGGCTTAACATTTCTCCTGCCACAGCTATACTTATCTTCTTTATGGCTAGAAGAATTGCAGTCTCTGCCATTCTCTTGTCACTGTTTTTCAGCAGTAGGTAGTTCAAAATCAGTTCCCTTGTAAGGGTCAATTATATACATAAACGAAGAAAGTTATAATGCAAATGGTCACATGTACATAAACAAAAAAAGAAGTTATAGATTGAATAAATGGGTGACTAAACCTCCACTGAATCTGTTGATGATATTCAAAAATCAGTAAGCAAAGCAATTTCTTTCCACTGAATCATTTCTTTTTTTAAAAAAAAATATTCTACATAATCTAAGTCTTTCACCAACACATAGTCCATCCATCGACTCCAAAAGGTAAAATTATGCTGCTATCATACATCAAACGCAAGTGCGAATAAGAAAAGAAAATACCTCTACCTCCGTTGCTTGATCAAACTGGAAATCCTGCAAACTTTGGCTGGTTGATTTGGACTTTTGGATCGTTTTTTCCAGCAAGAAGGGAAAAGAGGATCCTTGTAACTTGCCAACTGCCAAGTGCTCATATAGATATGGAATTGCTAATAAGGAATTGCTCTCATCCAGATCCTACGCCAGTTCAGTTACAGTGAAGTCAACTCATTGGGAGAATCGCACAAAAAAAATTATATATACTCAATGTTATTCAAAGACATTAAGAAAATGCAAAGGTTACACAATCCCCCCCTACCCTCTCTTTCTGAAGCAATGCTAGATTACCTACCTCAGTGACGAGATGTATTGTTAGCCTGTGAGGAATATGCTATCAATTTCTCTGGATCAAGTTCTTCGGAAAAAAAAAAGAAAGAAAAAAAAAAGAAGAAGAGAAACTCTGAAGTCTGAACCAACCTGTCCCTCTTTTGTTCCGCCTTTCTTTTATGGCCGTCGATTTGACGGTGGTAGAGCCTGGGCGGTGCGCGGCGACTATGGTTGTGCTGCAGATGCGCGCGGTGGAAGAGCTTGCATTTGGCCGGCTCCGCCCGTGGTCGCTAGGGTGTGAACTGTTCACTGTGGAGGCGGCTACGGGCTACGGCATCGTTAGTTTGGGGCAACTGCCGTGTGCCTTGGCGGACACGAGTCGCCTTGGTTAGAGGGACTGGAGGGATAAGAATTGGGTGTTTGAGTTCAGAGCATGTCTCTAACGTCTGTTTGTTCTCTATTTCTTCCTGGCCTTTATATTGGGGCTGCAACGATTTGTTGCTGTGCTGAGGGGTGAGGATCCTGAGACGAAGGCCGGAAGGGGTGAACTGATCATATATCCGTCAGTCCCGTGCCGACACGTCCTGGGCTTACGATTTTCGGAGTTCGGGTCTACAGCTCAAAATCGAATAAAAACCTATGCGCACCATCAATTTCTCTATTTGCTGACTTTTGATCTCGAGTGCTGATTGCTGAACATGTACTGGAGGCTGTATTTAGTTCACACCAAAATTGAAAGTTTGGTTGAAATTGGAACGATGTGATGGAAAAGTTGGAAGTTTGTGTGTGTAGAAAAATTTTGATGTGATGAAAAAGTTAGTAGTTTGAAGAAAAACTTTGGAACTAAACACGGCCGAAGTATTGGTGTAATTTTTAGGGTTTTCCTCGATCAAACAGGGGAGATATGAAAGAGGATACTCTGAGTCTCTGACTTACTTCCCTTTGACTTTGACGATATGTTGACTTGCTGGTAAAGGACCCACATATTAGTGACGCAAAATAGAGGGAATGAGTCAAAGTCAGAGGATCTCAATCCGGGAGATGTCCCCTCAAGAGGATAATGCTTTTTTTTAAGCAGAATTTAAGATAAAGCTAAGTGTTTGTAAATAATTGCCTCTTCTTGCATGATTGAAGTAATTCTTTATATTGCAAAAAAATTGTTTCAGTAATATAATGAAGGGTGCATAGCTAAAGTGGTCCTCCAAGTTTCATCCGAGGCTTAGTTTAGTCCTTGATGTTTCAATCAATCTATATTAGTCCTTCAAGTTTCCATATTAGTTCAAACTTATCCTTGAACCCAGTTAGAAACCACATGGCTAAACATAACCAACAACTCTCTTGATAAATGACACTTATACCCCCTCACTTATATTGTATATCGAGTAGCTCCCCTTCACATTGATTCCATAGAACATTTAATTCGTAGAATTAATTGGCATTCAAGAACTCAAGAGTATCCAAGAACAAGTCGAACACTAAGAACGTCAACACTAACACAAAGAACGGGTAGACATCAAGGAGGAAGCCGCCGCCACCGGGGTGGGAGGGGAGGGCACCACCCTTGCTACCGCCTCCCCTCCCACTGGATTTGGCGGAGGGGAGGGCGCTGCCGCCTCCCCGTGGGAGCCCGCTGCTCCTGCCACCGCCTCCCCTTCCGCTAGATCTAGCAGAGAAGAGGGCGTCGGCCCTACCTGCCGCCTCCCCTCTCGATAGATCTGACAGAGGGGAGGGTGGTACCGCTGCTGTCGGGCCACAGCAAGATCCGGCCGCCGCCGTTGGGATGAGAGAGAGATGAGCGCGCGCGGGGGAGAGAGAGGGGAGCGCGAGAGAAATTGGAGACCAGGGAGAGACCGAGCCCTCCTCCCGGCCTTATCCGCTCGAGATCAAGAATGGTTGGCTTAAGCTTGGCTTGGTTTTCACAGGTGTTAGTAATTTTAAAATAACCGATACTTGTAATATATTACAGGTGACAGTTTTAATTAACTAAGTACCTATGATAAATTAAAGATGCCGGTTTTGTAGAGGCGATTTTCAAATTGCCTCTAAAATCTGGACCTCTATAGTCGTGAGACACTTTTTAGAGGCACTTTCTAAATCGCCTAAAATACTTTTTGTCGACGTTTGATGTCGTGATTCCGGTATTTGCATAGTATGGGGATCATTGGTACTAGGATATATGCGAGATTGTAATAAAAGAGATGGGGACGAGGATTTTTATACAGGTTCGAGCCCCTGAATTGTCAGGTAATAACCCTACTCCTGTTGGCCGAAGCCGGTCGTTGTTCTTATTCACCATAATCACACCAATACAATATTTGGGGTAGCCTATCTATCTATTGTCGACTTGGCGGTCCGAATTACTGACTCGTAGTCGACAACAGGGTAGTCTTCCTCCTCGAATCCGTGTCCGGCGAGATCAAAGACAGTGCTATGTCTCTCCTATCAGTATCCGTAGACACCGTAGGGGACTAGCCATGCTTATCTCTAAAGTCGATATCCGGCGTCTTGTCTTGGCGTATGTTGGCTTGTATATTGATCTATTATTGCGTGTCCCCTCTCCTCCTAGGAGTCTTGTATTTATACCCATAGGTGTCCCCTTGTCCAAGTAGAACTAGGAAAACCAATATGGATACAATCCGAGTAGTCCTTATCGTTTCCATGTAGAACTCTATTCATCCTTCCTTATGCGGAACTCCTCCTATATCCGAATGTTGTTTCCGTATAAGACATGGTATGTGGTGGGTCCTGCCGAGATTTAGTCAACTACTATTAGGTATGTGGTATCCATAACCTTGACATTTTTACTCTAGAGACACTCTTAGCATATTTTGTTAATTTTATCTTGTAGAGACATTTTTCCAACACTTTGAAATTTGCCTCATATGTAAAGGCATTTTCTTGAGGCATTTAAGCCTATGTAGAGGCACTTTTTCGAATATTAATATATACTAATATAAGTAATAGATATAAGTAACACAAAGCATATATTTGCTAGTAATTATATGAGGTTGAGATGGTTAGCTCATTGAAGATAAAAAAACTCAAGAGGTCATGAGTTTAAGGATTGGTAAGAGATAATATTTTTTTTATCTTTTTTCACATTGATTTGCTTGAGTTGTCGCATAATTTAATTTCTCTATAAAGTGCCTCTACTTTGCATAGAGATGTTTTATAAAATGCCTAGTTTGTGGAGACAATTCACAAAAAACACTTATACCACATTCTTCAAAATGTCTATACGACACTGTAAAGGCATTTTAAATATGCCTCTACAATATTAAGAAAACAGAAAAACTAACTCTATTCATCCATCATCCTCATCCGCATGCATCCTTTTCTGCCCGACTCGATCCCCCAATCTCCTTTGTCGCTCTTCTCTTGCACCTACGCTTCGCATCCGCCACCGCTCTTCTCCTTCCTCTCATCTTCTTCCTTGCCTGGCTAGAAGCTTGAAATGGCTTGCGCTCCTTTCTCCTGCTGCACCTACCCTCCTGCTCCGTCCCCCCTCACCATCAACGAGTCAAGGAGAAGGCTGACAACACCAGATCTGGAGATACCTAGGGCCTCCCCGTCATTGGATCAGCCTAAGCCATGCAGTGATGAGGTGATGGATCGTACCGGTCCCTGTGGCCTCCACCTCGGTGTCATGCCATCGAGGAGGATGCCGATTGATGCGAATCCTCCTCCCATGCAACTGTTAGTGGTGATGGAGGGGAGACAAATGAAGGTGCTAGATTTGGAGTTTCGATTGGCAATCGATGTGGTGTTGCAGACACCGTGTTGCTCGTCGACGTTGTGCGTAGGTATGTCGTGCGTGTGGCGTATCACCATGGCTCGGCTGGTACCTACAGGTACCAGGCATGGTACCAGTGGTATCATGGTTGATACGTACAGGTTGCAGGGCTGGTACATTTGGTATCATGGTTGATACCTACGGGTACCAGATCTGGTACTAGTGGTATCATGGTTGATACCCATAAGTTTCAGGCCTAGTACCTTTGGTATCATGGTTGATACCTACAGGTTTCAGGGATGGTACTTGTGGTATCATGGTTGATACCTTCAGGTAACAGACCTGGTACTAGTGGTATCATGGTTGATACCCACAAGTTTGAGACCTGGTACCTTTGGTATCATGGTTGATATCTACAAGTTTCAGGGCTGGTACTTGTGGTATCATGGTTGATACCTTCAGGTAACAGACCTAGTACTAGTGGTATCATGGTTGATACCCACAAGTTTCAAACATGGTACCTTTGGTAGCATGGTTGATACCTACAGGTTTTAGACTTGGTATAGTTACCAACCAATATCACATAGGTACCAAGTACAAGGTATAACGTGTGTCGCTGCCGCTTGGGCAGGTGGTGAGCGGTCGACCACTAGCGTTTTGTCTCGTCTTCTCCTTTCTATTCCTTTCCATATCTCCATGCCTTTTCTTCTCAATCTGGTGTTGGTACAAGGGTCACCAGGCTGGTACAGCTTGCAGGGACCAACTTTGCCACCTAAGCCACTATTGGTGCCGTGGCTTTCTAGCGCCTCGCACGTGCTCCTCCGCCAGCTAGTGCGTGAGCGTGTAGGGCGGCGCTGAGTGGTGGACTCGTGAGTGGATAAAGTGGAGGCGGAGCTAACGTCATCAATATAAAGTATCCCGTTTGGACGGGATGCCTAGCAGCCCTCTTAAGACAAATAAAAAAACACGTACGTCACATTTTTTTTAAATATGTCTACAACACTACAAAAGCATTTTAAATATGCCTCTAAGAAAATTTCTGATGCAGCAATGGTAAGGACGGTGTAACGGTGCCGAAGCAAGCTATTGCGGACGATGGGTAATACAATGTGTAGAGCGTATGCTGCTGGAATAAAAAAATATAGAGAAGTCATCAGCAGTATACTTAGAAAATGGAAAATCATCACTACATACACACGGAGCTGCATGAAAAAAAAAACCCAATAAGTTATGCGTTCCGGTCATTTCACATTTTTACAATTGGTATTTGGTGCTAACCAACAATATAGCAGGACGACAATGAATGGTCGTGTATGAACATCGATCACCGGCGATGACTCTCGTGGACGACCAGCGGCGGTGAAGCTCGCGGACGACCACCAGCAGTAGCGAAGAAGCAAATTAAGGCCCTGTTTGTTTCAGTTTAAGATTATTGTAATCTAGATTATAGAACTAGATTACTGTAAGCTGTATTATAATAAGCCGACATAGAATAAGCTGCTAGTTGTTTGTTTCTCTGGATTATTATCTGTTTGTTAGTTGCTAGTCACCCAATAATCTAAAATAAGCACCTTTAGAGTGGCTTACCAGATTATAGTAATCTGGCTTATAGATTACAATAATCTATCATAATAAGCTGTATGTTTGTTTCAGCTTACTCATAATAATCTAAATATAATAAAGTTGAATCAAACAGGGCCTAAGAAAGAAAACACACATGCAATGTCAAATTATTTGTTGTATAAATATAGACAATTTGTAGTGTAAAAATGATTTGAC